TCTTGTGGTTAAGTGATTTTAACAATTATTTCACAACTTCAGCAATGTCTTCTATTGAAATTGTACAGTAGAAAAAGTTTTACTTTGGTTAACCAATGAAATACAATATTAATTCAGTAAAACCCACACACATGGAGCATGATCCAGCCATACATTATCCAGCCATACATTATTCTAAATTTAATTTCAATTGGAATGTTAAGCAAACTGGATCATACCCACCTTTTGCTTTTGTTGTCCATTTGAACAAATCACACACCAAAAAAAATCAGTGCATTATTCAACCCAAAGATTCCCCCCCAGAAGTGTTATATTATTTGTATAATTTTCCTAGTCCAGATAGTCACCAATAGATATATACAAATACTGTGACTGTACCACAAATTTTTATAGTCAATTCATATTCATAGGTCTCTTGTACAAGTTGTTGTAAATTCAGTCTGTGCTGAGTGCTGGCTCTGATTGATGAAGAGCTATCTGCTAGCCTTCAGCCAGTAACTGAACAGCTGGCTGCAGCTGGCTCTGGGCCAGAAGGAGAACAACAAGCGATCAGGTTACCGGCTGATCAGGAGTCACAGCATACAGCTGAAACTGAGCCACCACCTTGTAGCTCTGGAGCAGTAAACAAGTCTTCAGAAGCCACTCCCAGCACACCTAGCTCACCCACACCCTTGCAGCACCAATGCTGTCAGAGATGCTTAGAGTTGCAAGAAAGGAGAAGTGCGAGACTCATGGCCCGTCATCAGCTAACTTTTGGACTGGACTTTGGTTACTCTCTGCAACCTTGCCTGTGACCTGCCCAGCTGGACCCCAGCCTGTACCTCCTGGGGAAGCTACACCAATATTGTTGTCTTCTCAATCCCGGAGGCTCGGAGTGGTTTACACATATACATTTAATCGTCTAACTAGGGCCACATACATATCAGGGGAGATGGATGCCTTACCAGGCACCTACGCAGCGTAGGTCTTTCTGTGGCGGGGTCTTGCTAGGACCAGGCGGTAGTGTCCTTCGGCAGAGATCTTTTTTCATCTCGGCTTCCTGGGATGGTCCTTTTATGGCGCGCGGCTGCATGATGAGGTCGCAACTGGTCTCTGTCCTGGAGGCTCCGACCGTGCTTACGTGACCATGCCTCCACGCCACCTCCAATCGCCTCCCGAGTCACCTGCCATCTGCCGCCATGTTCTTTCTGCCGGCTCGCCTCTCATAGATTCACCACATCGTCCAGCCGCCACTGCTGCCCTCCAATATTGGAGGTAGGGTGCCCCCCCACTCTTAAGGAGTGGGTACCCATTTGTCTAATTGCCGTTAAGGGCTTTCGAGCCACTGGGTGGGTGGGAGCTAGGATAAGGGCCGGGAGCTCACCCCGGCCGCGGTGGGACTCGAACAGCTATTAAGGCTGTTCGGAGATAGTTTTACTTGCAGGCATTTACTGCAAGTGAGTAAAGAGTCCCTCAACAGCACTATGCACCTTCTAGGTATCAATACTGAGTCATATTTAGAAAGTATTCATGAGAGAGAGAGGTTGACTATTTTCCTTCCCCTATGGCTTTTTACTTTACTGAACAAAGATGAAATGATGTAAGATTGCAGCCAGTAGATACAACTGAAATGTCAACATTATTTCTTCTTCAGAATATCTAGTTTTACTACTGTTATATTTTACATAGGGCCTTTGAAGACTACTTGGAAGCTTGAACACCTACATAATACCACCATGGCTCTTTTGATAGGAACAGAAGATGAATATGATACATCAAGTTGTATTGCAGCAACTGCAGTGTTCAGACTCTGGGCATAATGTAACGTACTAGTTTTAATCTGTAAACTACATGAATCATGCATTTCACAAAGAGTACCTCTCCATACACGTGCCTCCTATCTGCTAAGATCAACTTGGAACTCCTGCTTAAGATCCCTTTATTTTAGAAGAGAGAGAAAAGAAGTAAAATTTCTGAAATATTGAAGCAGGACCTACATCACAGAATAGGCCTTCTGTCCAAGACTGCATAATAACACAAACATATAAAAATTTATCTAAAGTCTTCTTGCTCCACTAAGCTTCTATAATAATAACACAAACATATAAAAATTTATCTCCACTAAGCTTCTATGAACACAAACACAATTAAGAGACAGTCTTTTTAAAAAGTCTGTATTTGTTGTGTTGAACTTATTGTTTTTATGACACAATTGTTTTTGCCCATTAGTGGCTTCTAAAATTTATAGGAAGTCATACTTTATATGAATGACTAAAAGCACACAAAAATGTTGAAGGCACTGCTAAACTTAACTGTTTTCCAGTCCAGGAACAGGAGTATCATTCTGTGCTATGAATATAATGTGTTCATAGACACACAAAGTTGGAATATTAATTTTAAACAATTTAACAATAGTCGCAGCCTAGGATGAAGGTCTCATTCAATAAGAGAATCAATGACTAACGTACGGCTAAAATGCCAAACAGGCTTTGAAGCTTTGTCATTAAATGTTAAAGCGCAGGTGGAGGAAAACATCAAATCTGTGAAATAATGTGCCAGCTGTTTATCTTGGACTACTATGCAGCACCATATTTTATTGACATGTAGATATACCTCAGTCATTTAACCCATATTGCTGATATCAAATCTTGCTCACACCTAACAAATGTGCTAGTAATCTGGGCTATGAATATTTTTTTCAAAAAGCATTTGCCTGATTAATCTTCTTCTAAAATAAAAATAACTGATAATCCTAGAGTTTCACCCTAATTTCAAACTTTTAAAGATTTTTTGCACACATGGAGCAGCTTACGTTGATCAATAAAAACCATAAATAAAAAACACACAACAATAACATTAGTAAATCCATTTCAGAGAACGTTAGCCCAATCAAAACAACTACACAGCTTTGAAAGCTTCAAAAGACAAAGCAACAGAGATCAGCAGGACTCACAAGATACTTGCAAGAAGCCAACAATGTCAAAAATCATCTGGCAAGTTCACCAAAGCAGAACCACTTTGTGCGCTCTGCAGAACTTAAACCACAGATGGTGCTTTACACTTAGGGGTGCCAAACTCTATGTGGGATTACCTAGAGAGCTCCCAGAATAATATCTCATCTCCAGACTACAGAAATCAGTCCCCCTGGAGAAAATGGCAGCTTTGGAGGGTGGGCTCTGTGGTATTATATCCTAACGTGGTCTTTCCTCTCTGCATGCTCTAAACCAAAATATCCAGGAATTTCCCCACACAGACTTGGCAACCCTATCTTCCTCTAGTTACCCCTCTCAAAGGGTGAGGGACCATCACTGAAAAATCCATTACTCTTACTGAGGTGAAGCCAATCTCCAAGAAAAAGGGAACCCTCCAACAAAAACTGTTGTCCTAAGTCAAATCATTGGGCAAGCAGGGAAAGACCACCAGGATCTAACCAGCCTATGGCCCCAGACAACCTGGGATTCCAGGCGTCATTAAGTACTCAACTGAGTTGCTCTTGAAATTGTCCAAATCCCCAAGAAAATTCTGGAAACCAGTGGTGAATCACCTTAATGGGACCACACTCCCGTGGAATGGGAAGGCATCACCAACTAGACCTTCAACAAATACTGCTCAGAGTATGACAATTCAAAGTATTGGGAGAAGAGTATTTTATTATATACACATTATCTTTGCAGATGTTTGTCAGTAAATCTGTTTCAATTTAATCCAGCTAACAACAATACTTTAAAAGATTTGGCCTTGGGACTGGCATTGTAGAATAAGCAATATTAACACCAACTGCTCAGGAGAATTCATCCTTCCAATATAAACAACTGGCCTTTGCTAAAATTCTCCTAAAGCCTATTCTCCTAAAATGCCACAAATTCTTGTGAATGTAATGAAAATTAATTTATAAAGGTATACATATAGGTCCCGATCACACGCAGAAGTAGCCGCACAATAGGCACGAATGCCGGGCAAATGTTAAGGGTGCAATCACACGGGACTGGCATCGGGCAAGCGTCCCGCACTTGTCGGCAACCTGTCTAGCTCCACCGAAGAAGCAGAGTTAAAAAATACTAAGGAAAGTCCAATATCAAACGGGTTGCTACGGGCCACAGACAGACTTTCCCCTGTGTGTGATTGCTCCAGCATGCTCTCATGGCATCAGGATGGTCTGATCAAGCCATCCCGACTCCATGCCATTGTTTTTTTTCCCTTTCCCAGTATGCACATCATTGTATACTGCCGTAGGAAGCCCTCAGTGTGGAGATGCGATTCATTGCTCCTCCATTTAAGCAAATCGAAACCAAACAGCACAACCCCCCCCCCCCAACTCACCTGTGCTTGCGTCTGATCACGCGGTGGTGGGCTACACCTGCAGCTTCAAAGAACTGTGTGATCGCACAACTGTGGATCAATTTCCTCTGAGGTAAATAGCCTCGCTTCCTCCGCGCATTATCTCACGCATGTGACCAGGACCATAGTATAGAAGCCTAAATGTGTCACAGCGTACACTAGGACTATTCTGTAGGAGAATAGGTAATATATATTTCCTACCAATATTAACAGAACTCTATAACTAAAACTTTACCTTAGATAAATCTCCTTTATGCATGGCAACTCATGGTCTGATTAGACGAGACATTCACATTTAAAGTGTGACTCAGTACTCACCTTATAAATTGGGGGTGGGATATGCTCCTGAACATGGCAGAAGGAGAGGGTTCATCATTCCCTCTGTTCCACCCTGCTCGCTTTCAGTAGCAGAAAAGGGCTATTTGTCTTACTGCTGGTTTCACATGTTAAGAGTTAAGTATATATTCCTAAATAGAAACCTGCCTCATATCACTGAAGTCAATTCAGTATTACTGTGAGGACACAAATGTGATAAGACAGTCTTCCTCTTTCATACAAACAGTAAGAGAGGACCTATTGAAGTCCTGTGCTGATTTTTCACCTGCTCAAGACAAGTAAATGTTTCTTTAAATATTACTCAAAACAAATCTCAATCGATCACTTAGATAATATTGAATACTTACCCCTGGAGGGCTTTTTCTCCAAACCAATCTCCTTTTCCTAATGTACGGAGAAAGATTGGATCTTCCCCAGGAGAATCTTCCCGAGTAACATTTACCTGATCAGAGATTTTGAAAAGAGTGATAAAAAGGATATCAGTCTTGAAATGTTGCAGCACAGAACTAAAGTTAGCCAAAGTTACCAGATGGAAAGTCTCCTGTTCAGATCTCAGCTCAATAATGAGTTCTTTCAGTGGCCTTTCATAAATCCCTCATCTACAGCCCCATTTTTTAACATGGGGACAATAACCAGGAGCTGACTTAAAATGTTGGCGCAACTATTATAGAGATACAACTAAGTGTAGCACTAATGGCAAACACTGAACAAATGCTTTAGTGTTGTAATCATCATCGCTTTAAGAGTTGTCTACCTGGACACCAAGGTTTCCAGCTTCCTGCTGGCAGTGGGCTACGTCCTGTCCCCCCATTCTCATTGCTTGCTGCTGCTCAGCTGGCCAGCAGGAGGAAATCCTAGGCAAAATGGGGGGAATTATAACATTGCTTCCAGCTTACATGAAAGTAATGTCATCATGCCAGGTGATACTTTGGTATTCACCCCAAGCTTTATGGTTAAACCATGGAGTTTTGGGTGAATACTAGAGCATCTCCACCCCAGTGCAATGATGCCCGTTTTAGGTTGTGCCCAAAGTGACAGCATTCCTCTGTGGATGCCAATGGATGCCCTACAAGAAACTGCAAGTTGCCAGGCTGTGCTTGAACAAAAAATACATACATATGACCCAGTAAGAGAGAACAGTAGATAGAATTAGACAATTACATAATTGTGGATACAAACAGGCTGCCTATCTGTATGCACCTGTAATGCTCATTCAGGCCCATTTATTTTTCGAAGAAGAGGAAAAGGAGGAGGAGGAGGAGATCAGATTTATATCCCATCCTTCACTACTCGAAGAAGTCTCAGAGTGGCTTACAATCTCCTTTCCCTTCCCCTCCCACAACAGACACCCTGTGAGGTAGGTAGGGCTGAGAGAGCTCTCCCAAGAACTGCCCTTGAGAGAACAGCTCTGAAAGAACTTCTGACTCACCCAACATCACACCAGCAGCTGCATGTAGAGGAGTGGGGAATCAAACCTGGTTCTCCCAGTTTAGAGTCTGTGCTCTTAACATTGGTTAAGATATAGTCCAAAGACTATATCTCCACCATGGATCATTTTTTAATGTATCCATTTGTAATCTGAACTAGACTGGGGCAATTGTCTAGGTTTTGCTTTCCCATAAGTCCTTGCTTCCATCCACTGGAACTGGAAAAAGTGAAAGCATTGGTATTGTCCTAAACCATACTGTATCACACTCAACTATGGATCTCTATGGCATACAAGCTGAACTGCATTGCATTGGATTTTTCTTTTGCAAATCAAATAAGAATGTTATGGCAGATGCTGGGATTGCCGCCAAAAATGACCTCCTCTCCACCATAATATCACAAGATACTCAATGTATGTCATGACGTCATTGCACTGTGAGTTTCCTAGCTCATACAAATGACAGCTAATGAGAAAGAGTGAGGCACAGTAACTCACAGCATAATGATGATATATCATACCCAGTATCCTGAGACAGGAAAAAGAGACAAAGGGTTGCTCTTCTAGTGGCAACTTATGCCTAGCATGACATATAGGCTTGATTCAGACTTAATATAAAACCACGACTTATTTTAACGATGGTTAGTTTGTGCAATCAGGAATCAGCTCACAGCCAGTCACTCAAATCCTGGTTTGTCTCAACAAACACTGGTTTCATTGTCTAATATCTGCCACCTGGGAGGTCATCACCAGAATGACACAGGACTGACACAATGCAAATCATAGTTAAGACAAACTGTGCTTAAGAAACCAACTTTAGATCCTGGTTTGATACCTAATGTGCACCTTGAATTAGCCTGGAAAAAATTTAGGCAAGCCAGAACTGGACCAATATGTTCTCTGCAACCTACCCATGATGACCTGCAGAATTTTGTATCAGCTGCAGCCTTCATTTCAGTGCTGAAGTGACTGTTATTTAGCAAAATTAAACAAAAGTCCAGGGGCACCATAAACACTAACAACATTTGTTTCAATATGAGCTTTCATGAAAAAGTGAGCTGTGTCACACTAGAATAAATTTTATTGAACAAACTTACTCCCAACAACGCTCTCTTGGCAGTGATTTGTTTATTGAGAGATGAGAATGTGTCAAGCTAAGGCCACCTGTGTCAGAACTGACCCTCGTGCCGCCAGTTCTGATGGTATACAGCACTTAAACAGCCCCCCACAGGACTAGCCCAATCACACCAACAAATCCAGCCCACCAAAATCTACTATGCACCGTTAGCCCTCCCCCATCACTTGCAAGCTTAGTATCTAACAGTGTCTGGCTTCCAAGGTCAGCCACGCATTCTTCCCAGGGAAGGGAGGCCCTGCTTAACACCGTTACAAGCTAGCACACCTTCTAGCAGTCCTCACACCCACACACTCACACACTCACCACCTCCCACCAGAATAACATGAGACAACAGGCATACAGAACCCAAGAACAGCAAAAACCATGGCAAATGAGACCTGAGTTTGACATTAGTCTTTAAGATGCCACTAAATTTTTGTTTCATTTTGCAACAATAGGTTAACATGGCTACTCCTTTGTCATTTTTCTTTAGCAAACACATTAATGCATGCAGCAAGTATCTAAAATGTGATGAGGTCTGTGTAAGGTCCTGTGCCAAAAACCCATGTAGGGTTGCCAAGTTGAAAAAAGTACTTACCGGGGGACTTCTGGTCCGCGGCTAGAGCATGCGTGCATGCCGCACGCACGTCACCAGGAAGTGACGTTATGACGCCGGGCACGCTGGGGGCGGGGCCACGACCATTTGAGGGAAAACCATAGAGTTTTCCCTCGGATGACCGTGGCCCCGCCCCCAGTGTGCCTGGCGTCATAACATCACTTTCTGGTGACGCGCACGCCGGGGTGGGGCTCCCCCCGGGGCCCGATCTGCCGCCAGCAGGAAATGGGCCTCTGGGGCGGGGGTTTCCCCGCCCCCTGGGGGGACTTGGGAAGCCTAAACCCATGTTCTTTCAGACATATTTTGTTGGGTTTAAGCCACGGTGCTTACATTTTTGTACAGATTTGGGATCATTCACAGAGATCATGTCTTGAAAATGTAACATGAGATTTAGTTGTAACAGCTATGCATTCATGTGGTCCCTGCAAGAAAAGTCCTATGGTGCGCAAGTAGCTCATTTTCCAGTTGGAGAGGCCAGTTTCCATTGCCAACATTAAGTCACAATAGCTAATTAAACAAGAAATACGGTAACTTTCTTGACACTGCATGAGAAGAAAGGGACGGCTGGTACTGTGTTCCCATAAGACGCAACCCATTGCACATGACATTTGCTTGGAAGAGAGTGTCACAATAACTTACCATGCCTTTGCTGATTATGAAGAAAGTGTCCCCTCGAGCACCTTGCCTGATAATGTACTCTCCATTTTCATAGTGTGTCTGCAGAAAGAAAATTTACAAGAACAAGAGGAATCAAACTGAAACTCAGCTTGCAGTTTCCCAGTTTCAAGATAATTTGTAGAAGGGCAACAGCCCTAAATCTGATTTATCTAAGCCTGGTAACACATTGGTATCAAGAAGAAAAAAACCCTAATAATTACCATCTTCCTAATTGTCTCTTTTCATCAGACTATATTATGCAACATTATTACCATATAAAGTTACTTTGCTTTAATTCTTTGTGGTAATAATTTTGGGGTTTTTTCACTTTGGGGGGCAAATGACTAACAATGCAATCATATGCAGAGTTTTGCAGCCTATTGACTGTAAATAACTCTTATGTCATTTAGAAAAGGAATAATACCAGTTATCCTGTGATTAAGTTTGTACCACTGAATATAGGCACACAAACCTGAATAGAGATAGATGACAGAAGATCATAAACCCTTAAATAATTAAATAGGTAACTGGCATTAAGTTACAAGCCACTCCAAAATGGCTTAAAAATTGGAGATTACAAGTGCCTCCAGCCTTCTCAGGCAGGACCTGGAGATCTGGAAGTAAAACTGATCTCCATACAATTCCCCTGGAGATCAATTCCCCTGGAGAAAATAACTGTTTTCGAGGGTGGAATCTATGACATTATAGACCACTGAGACCCAAACCCCACCCTCCCCAAGCTCCACCTCCAAATCTCTAGGGATTTCCCCACTCAGGCTTGGCAACCCTAATATGCATCAAGGCTCAGAGTGCATTACAAGTTCTCTAACACATATCCCCCCACATACACACTCAGTGCCATCTTAAGCAGGATTATACACTTATGTGCCCACTGACCTCAATAGAAAAGCGTGACTTTGCTTAGGATAGCATATTCTCTCTGTCTTCTGTCTGTCTGTCTATGCTGTATAACCATTTTTTAAGTCTCATATGTATCTATTTACCTTTATGTCTACCTATATCTATTTCAACACTTAACAATTGCACAAATCCTAAAAATAAAACGTACTATGATATAAAGTAATTATAGCAAATTAAAAGCCATTAAATGAGAAATGAATTCTGATTTTGTAGTTGTGCTTAGTTTAATTTAACTGCATTTATGGATTAAATAAATGTAATCGTTCTGGATTATAGTTTAAGGCAAGATATATTAGACAGGAGAAGTGCTGTAAGAATTAAAATTTGTCTGTGTGTGTGTGTGTGTGTGTGTATATATATATAATATTATTTAAAAGTTTTGGAAACAATATTATTTATAATATAAATGTACTTTAATAACTAATATATGGTGAGTAACTTCGGCTCTGGGTGGAAGGACAATCCTAAAGTAACATTGGCCTCTCAATGCTCCAGAGTTCTAGTTTGTAGACACCTCTATACCTAGGGTTGCCAACCTTCAGGTGGTGGCTAAAGATCTCCACGTGACAAAGATCAGTTCAACTTGAAAAAAAATTGGCCTCTTTGGAAGTTGGACTCTATGGAATTATCCCCCAAACCCTGCACTTCTCAGTCTCCACCTCCAAAATCTCCAGATATTTCCCAGTCCAGAGATGGCAACCCTATCTTTGCCACAGAATTATTCCTCTGAGGCCTGTGTGAGAGTCTTGTAAACCTGCGTTATAAACACAACACCCACACTGTGATAGCTTGAAATTGCCACTGCACAGAGGCCTTGCCATGGAATAAATGGTTTGTGTATAGCTGCTTGTGACATGGAGTTCAATTTTCACCATCACAATAAAAATGCCAGCTCTGCTTTGCAGTGACATGGTGGACTTGGAAGATCAGACTGGCAAGTTTGTAATGAGAATGGTTGCAAACATAGCAACTGGGCTTTTGAGCGGCCACAGTGTGACAGCTCTGGCTCTAGCCTAGTCCCACAGAATGGCAGGTGCTTTACCTACTAATGCTTTGATGATGAACAACCTATTGAATTAAAGAGAAAGCATTCATGGTGAGATGTGATTAAAGGTGCAACGCGCTGCAAATATTTTTTCCCCAGCCAATTACTACCCTACTGTTTCCTGCTATAATTACTAATGAAGATTAAGCATTTATATTTTCTTTTTTCCAGTGCTATAGCTAAAAATGGAATCAACACTACCAAATTATATTTGGCCAGCTTCCTGGATGGATCTGCAGATAGTGTACTGATGGCAATGTGTGCTGGTGATCTGCACAGGATTAACTAACATGTCAGTCCAAGAATAAGGATTTGACACCAAAGTGGGTTCTTTCCACTCTGAGAATGAAACGTCTACCAGTAGATGTTATAGACTATTTCCACAAGGCTTTCGCAGTCTATGGGGGTTGCCAGGTCCCTCTTGGCAACTGATGAATGGGAGGCCCAGGCTACATTGCCAGCAATGTGGATATGCCATTTCTGGTGTGTACCAGAAGTGACATAATCATGCTGGGATGTCCCAGCAACACTCTGCCATTTGGGCAAAAACTCTATGGTAAAAATGGCTTCTACCATAGCATTTTTGCTCAAATACCAGAGCATCACCTGGACATTGCTGACATGATGATGTCACTTCCAGTGCACACCGAAAGTGATATTGCCACATTGCCAGTGATGTAGCCTGAGCCTCCCTCCCGCTCTTGGTAAGCCCACCCACTGGTCAGCTGCTTGGTGGTGGGGGTAAGGCCTGGGGGTGGGGGATCCCCATCTTCAGCAGGGGACTGGCAATCCTATTCTCAGACTCTTTTGAGATGGCATCTTCCAGTACAGCTGGTTTTAGTGCCATTAACCAGACATCGTCGGGGAGGAAAATCACATACCAAATATTATGGAATAATTTTCGACCAGAGTGCCCAGACTGCTGTTAAGTGCTGATTTTCTATTTGAATTAATTGTAAATATAACTCACAACCTTAAGTGTGCAGGGCTCCTGTAAGGAGGGTGCAGACAATCATGGAGACAAGATCCCAGAACAGCAAGACCTGTTTGGAGTGCATGTCTGCCTGGCAATGGCCTTTTTGAGACAATTTACATGCTACAAAACCCTTTTTCATGCATTACGGTGAACACACATCAATCCGTTTACACTTGACTGGTCTTTATATGCACATTAAGAAAGTCTCACATTACATTCAATGCACATATAGCTGAATGTGTGATTAAAATCCCATATTTATTCAGGTACTGGTGCCTGATTTCATTTGCAAAGTGAACATGCATCTTTCTGACAATCAGGTGAAACGCATACATGATTGAGAAAGGGAGGCACCCAAGGCCACTGAGGCATTCGGACTTTTCTGAGGAGCCTTAGCAGCCAGTCTTGCTCCTCAGAAGGGCACTCAATATGGCTTACAGATACCATGCATGGTGACTCAATGCATTTGAAATATAGAACAAAAAGCACACATCTTTGTCTGGAAGCACCCCTTGAGCTGCAAAAGACAGTAAATGAACTGAAAGAAAAACCATCTTAATATGCCAGTGTTACATGTTTCCCTGGCACTGCAAACTGATACATTGGTACAAATCTTTGCAACCAAAGTTGGGATTATGCCAAGATTGTGGACCTGGGGATGAAATGAAGCAAAAGGAATTCATTTTAAAAAATTGTATTGGTGCAGTTGCCATGTATGTTCATATTTGAACGCTAGAATAAGTCTGCAGGACTCTTGAAAATAGAGCAAAAAGGCATGAAACATCTTTTTCTCAGTTTTTCTCACCTAGCCAGTTCTGGAGAATTTAGAAGTGACTTGGAACTGGTGACAAGGTATAGTTAGAAGCACAGAGGAAAACCCATCAAGGACCAAAGGGCACCAGAAGGAGATGGTAAAATGAGGAAATGTGGAAGGAAGAGAGATGGTAGGAAACTAAACAAAAGGAGAAGACAGAGGCAGGTAAGTAAATGCATCTAATTGATGCTAGTGGACTATAGTTTGTGCTGCACTGAAAATGTTGTTTTATATATTTCATATTATTTCATTATTGTTTTTGGTGGGATGTATACATAATGTTGCCAGGTCCTTACCTAGTTCCAGCAGGGGGCTGCAGTCCTCTTCCTATGGTTACCATTGAGCTTCACCCCCAAATGCTAGAGTGTCTCCTGCATGACATGCCCTGCGCAATGATGTCACCTCTGGTTGACATCATTCTACTAGGCATGCCAGGGGTGGGTGGGGCTGATTGGGGGCAGGGCTCCCTCCACCGACCAGCAATGGATTGAGGGCCCCAAAAGCGGGCAAAACCCCGCCCCCATGGCAACCCTATGTATACAGACTATATAGTAGTCATGCATCTCTTTTGGTTGATGTTAATATGAATGAGAGTCTCCATGAGCCCTGGATTGAGTACCAGTGCTCTAGTCAAGCATTTTGATCTCCTTGGGAGAATTAAGAACATGTTTGAATCTCTCTTACTGAAATCACTGGAACTTAAAAGTCCTTAACTTTTAAGTTCCAATGCTGCTGTATGATGAGAGAAGAAAGAAGAAGAGATTGGATTTATACCCCACCCTTCACTACCCAAAGGAATCTCAGAGTGGCTTACGATCTCCTTTCCCTCCCCCTTCCCACTACAGAGGTAGGTGAGACTGAGAGAGTTCTTTTGAAAACTGCTTGTGAGAGAACAGTTCTGAAAGAACTTGTAACTGACCCAAGGTCACACCAGCAGCTGCATGTGGGGGAGTGGGGAATCAAACCTGGTTCTCCCAGATTACAGTCTACGCTCCTAACCACTACACCAAACTGACACAGTACATAATTCTAGATTTATTTTTTATTTATTTTAGATATTTATACCCCCCTTTTCTCCCCAATGAAACCCAAAGCAGCCTACAACATTGTTCTCCAGTCCTCCACATTATCTAGAAATAGCCACCCTGAGTAAGTGAGGCTGAGACAATCACTGACCTGAAGTCGCTGAACGAGAGTCAAGGGCAGAATGAGGATTCAAGCCAGAGACTCCCAGACCCTAGTCCAACCCTATAAACACTATCTGCCATGCAGAGTTTCCCATTACAGAGGCAAGCCAACAAGTG